TGGAACAGTTAAGTCTGGAGAAGAGAAGACTCAGGGGGATCTTTTAAATGTACATAAATACCTGAGGGGAGGGTAAAAAGAAGAGGGAGCCAGGCTCTTTTCAGGTGCCCACTGACAGGACCGAAGGCAGTGGGCACTACCTGAAACACTGGAGGTTGCCTCTGAACATCAGGAAACACTTTTTCACTATGAGGGTGACCAAGCACTGGCATGGGTTGCCCACAGAGGTTCTGTCGTCTCTAGCCTTGGAGATATTCAAAAGCTGCCTAGACGTGGTCCTGGGAAACCAGCTTCACGTGGTCCTGCTTGAGCAGGATGATTGGACAAGGAGACCTCCAGAGTTGCTTTCCAACCTCAATCATTCTGTGATTTGTGGCCTGATTTACTGTAGTATTAAGGTTAAAGTGGTCCTATCTCAAACTAGTTATACCAGGCCCCCATTTAGTCAGTGGAGAAAAAAACAAAAAAAGTAATTACGCTTTTAGGGCGTGATGCATTGCACATTGAAGTAGTTATCCAAAAATAGGTCAGATGAACTGTGCTGTTAAGTACCGATATGACTGTAAAGGAAACCTGAGGTGACCAGCTTAATTGAAGCTGGTCAGCTCCAATACCCTGCAGCTATCTAGTGTTAGGTAAGATGAGTCCCCGCCAAAGATTTAACGGACAAGGTGTACTATACACTGTCTGTCTGCCCAGCATGCTGCTGACAATTGATTGTGTAGGTGCAGTGGATAACATCCTGCCCAGCTGGGGAGGATGGACAGATGAGAATCTGAATCAGTGGGTTAGATGCTCCATCACTGTTCAAAATGCTTTTCTTCCACAGTAAATGGGCAGTGAGGTCTCAGAAGGACTCAGCTCTGAGGCAGCTGCTGAAATTGTTTCTTGGTGTATAGTGAGACGCAGCCAGTTCTAAAAGGCTGTTTTTAGATCATGGACATATCTGCCAGCACAGATAAGGAGCTGCCTGCCAACTCCAAACATACACACACGACATTTACTCAATCACACACAATCGTAAACAAGCAAATAAACAACCTCCCCCTCCCATAAACTAATCAAGCTTTTTTCTCCTTCAGATGGAAAAGGAAGAAAGAAACAGCTTCCTATTGTTTTGGTTTGCTTTTTTCTTTTCTATTTTTAAATATGGGGAGGGGCCCAGATACTATATTGAAGCTGGAGCTATTTAGATACATTAAAAAAAATATGCATATTTAGGAGTTAGTTTAGCTCTATCTATCTGGAAAGTAAATGGAAATAAAATCATAAAACTTTTGCCAGCTTTGTTAGATGAGATTGGAATCGATCCATTATGTGGGGGCCTTCAGTCTTCACACTATGAATCAACAAAATCAATGAATGTTTGGCTTAATTGGCCAAACTGATTGTATATTAAAACTGATTTAATTACTTAATTGTCCGTATAGTAGGGATAAACTTGGCTAAGTCACTTGGATTTTAAAATGCCACTCTTTCTGTAGAAATTTAAGAGGTTTGGAAGGAGTTGGGGAATAACCTTGTTTAAGAGTCAGAATAATGCTCATTTTGGCTTGATAAGCCTGGCCCAGTTTTCCCTGCCTTGAAACTTTATCTCTTCTATTGAGGAATCTTCAGAATTTAATTTAATTTAATTTAATAAAAAAGTGCCCTGAGACTTTCTATGAGTATTCAAGTAGTGGATAACATGAATTTTTAAGCTGACATAACAAGTCTTAACATGGCTTCTGATTCATTCCTGACATAGCCAGGCATAATACTGGAGATATTAAGAGTATTTGGAAGATAGCACTGCCAAAGAATGTGCCATAAATATAAAAGAGAATAATTAAATTAGATCCTCTCAGGATGAACATGCTAAACTGAGACCAGAGTGCATGTACAGTATATTAAAAATAAATACTTGTACTGCACAGGCAGTGATTCAGCTGTCATTTGAATTCGGTGAAACTTTTAATGCAAACTAATTGCAGTGAAGCCACTCATGAGAGCAAGTTACTCTTATGCAGAAATGGGTTCACAGTCACTGATGTATTTGTGACCTGAAGCCAGGTAGGTGCAATAAGACTGAAACCAGCCATTTTATTTCTTTTATGATTTGTGGGTCAGTGGCTGAGTCAGGTGGCTGGAGTTCTCTTTTTACTTCTGTTGTAACATTGAAAAAGTAATTTCACCATTTTGTGCCACAGTTTCCTTAGTTACAGGTATGAATAGCAGTGCATAATCATCTTCGAAAAGAGTGTTAAGAATTGTAGAATAAAGCATGAGAATGAAAAGTATTTGTGTTATTTTCACTGTCCAAATTCACCAACTTCAGATTTGTCCTCTTTTGCATAGCTCTGTCCAACTAGTGTTTTGGAGATTATAAACACATATCCTGTAACACTGAAAAATAACATTATTTAAGATGAGCCAAATAGCATTATGTTAAATAACACATCAGAATTAATTCAATTTTATCTTTTTTTTTTTTTTTAATCAATATAATGAAGAGCTTGGTATAATTTATTTTGTTTATGTCATGACTATCTAAATCTCTGGATTTCATTGAATAAAATTTCTTGAGCTTTGGGACAGTGCTTTGTAAGGCCACCCATAACAACAGCAACCTGGTTGGGAACTCTGTCCCACTGAGTGGGTTGCAGTTCCAGATTAAGACCTTTGCATTCAGAGGTCTCCATGTGAAATAGGGATCCATGCTGCCATTAGAGTCAATGGATGTCTGGATAAAACACTCAGAGGTGCCTCCAGAATGAGCTGACCAGCTAATGGAGACTGATTTCAGCCATGTAAACAGAGGTATCTAGCATCACTTTTAGGTGTTGTGAACCTCACCTGTAGTTGTCATTTAAGAAAGGTGTGGGTCTCCTCTAAGTCCCTTGCATACCTACCTGCAAATGCGGATGCCTTAGACATCCTGGAGTGTCCAATGGTGGGAGATGACAGTAAGGCGACCGTGTCCCTCTGTCCAGGCTTGATTCAATCACCATCATGTAGACTCCCAGTGCCATTTGATGTGAAAGAGGGTACCTAAGACCCTGGCATGGGGCTGGCAGATATGGTTAACACTGCGAGACAAATAGTCCCTTCTGGAGTGGCAACTAAAAGCCAGCAGGATAGCTTGGGAACTAGCTGGAGTGAGGTGACTGCTTGAGTGACTGAACTGAGCTCTCTGAGTCTAATCTAGGTCATGCTGAACTACTCTCCAGGCTACACTGACTGTATTGTCTAGATCACTATTGATTATAATGGAAAAACATCGAGCTCATGTGAAATTATCTAAATTTGGGTTTGTTAATCCTGAACTGAATCCTAACTCCACCCCTCTCCCCTTGGGTGGAATGGAATGGAATGGAATAGAATAGAATAGAATAGAATAGAATAGAATAGAATAGAATAGAATAGAATAGAATAGAATAGAATAGAATAGAATAGAATATTCACTTGGTAGGGACCTACAACAATCATCTAATCCTACTGCCTGATCACTTCAGAGCTGACAAAAAGTAAAATCATTATTCTAACCTGCAGGTAATCCTTTTCTAAAATATGCCTTATTTTATTTTATAGCACATTCTATGTGTTCTTTTTCCTGAAGATTTTTTTTTCTTTAATAAAGAACAATAAGACATCACTTTCCAAAGAGACATTTCCAAAGATCACTTTCTGCTATAGGAAAGTGAACTGCATCAGTGGCTGTCAGGGAAAGCAAATATGGCAAAAAGACTCTGTTTGACTGAAAATTCATTTACTGTTATGCATACACTGAAACTGTACAGTGCAAAAAGGCCACAGAATAGCAATTGTGCTTGTGTATGTAGTATAGTATGAGGTTTGAATAAAATATGACTTGTAACAAATGTGAATATGGCATTAGACAGATAATGTAGTGTTATAAAAACACTCAGGACACATCTCTAGTTCATCTGTCCGGAAATGAGGAGAAGTGGTGGAAAAAGTCTTTTCCTTGCTCTCCTTGAGCACACTGCTGCACTGTCCAAACAGATATTGGGATATTGGTAGTAGGAGTCCCTCTGGAGACCTAAGTCTATTGCAGTAAAATTTTGTGACAGATATTTTCTGGACTAAACTGACTTCATCCTTCTCTTGATCCCTGCACTTCCCAGCATAGGATGTCAGTGGAATATTTTCTACTCTGGTGATAGATAATGCCAGTGAAATTTTATTGGGTAAAGACTGCAGGATTTGGTGCATAGTATAAACTCAACAAATCTCTGAAGGAACATGCCCTGTGATCCACTAGACATATTTGGGAGGGCCTGTTGGGCATGAAAAGAAGTTGTTGAAAAAGCCTTTTTCTTGTGCAGTGAGTCCTTGGAACTCAAACGTGTTACCTTGTCGCCTTCCAAGATGGCGAAAACACGCCTTATGGGAAGGTGTCATCTTTTTAAAAAAGATTGAAGTTTTTTTATGAGGTGCTGAGAGGAATTTTTAATTGCATGCATTTGTGATACATGCACATAAGATGCATCTGACTAAATAAAGCAGTTAAATGCTTAGTTTAGTGTTGTTAAAGCTATTACTTTAAGGCTAAGAGGTAAATTTTTAACGCTAACTGTATTTGTAATAAAGGTTTGGATTTTTCAAAGGCACCTCTGCAATTTGGCTACGATATTTTAAAGTTCCATAAAAAAATCTCAGCCTTCATTTACTATCATGACTTATAGTAACTTCCAAAGTGTTGTGTATGTTTCCTTCCCTGCTAATAGCCAAGGAGACTTTCACCACAAAACCTGAACTTTGGAAGTCCTTGCTGCTACTACGTGCTCTGTAACACAGTTCACGTGGATGGACAGAGCCAGTGCAACTCCATCTCCACTGATGTTGATGCACCAGCTGCAATAATATTTCAAGTCAATCCCTGATTAGTTAGGGGAAGGTCAGCTATTTCTGACTGGCCTCACCCAGACAGAGAAACAGAATGAAGTTCTGCCATCAGTGTCCTAAAATAGAAGGCCCTTTTCATCTGTCAGGCTTGAGTCAGCCACATGGAACACAAATTAGGGGACACAAATCAACTCACAGGGCATTGGGAAATACAGGCAGAAAGTCAAGTGAAGAGAAACTTCTTCAGATATGAGCTATATTCTTCAAACTGCTTTTTAATCACTTTCCCTAGAATTTATTTTATTGTTTCTTCTTAAGTAATTACACTTTTTTTTTTTTTTAATATAACTTCAATAATGAAACTGAGTGTGGGGATATTTTTTGGAGGCTTCTTTGCAGCTTTGGGGGTTTTGCTTTTTTTGGTGGCATTTGGAACTGATTATTGGCTTCTTGCTACAGAAATAGGAAGGTGTTCAAAGGCACCTGAAGATGCTGGGGTTAGTATGGACATTTTTATTTATAATGAGTATTATATATATAGATTTCTTGCATTTGTTTATTTTGTAAGAATTTACTTCTATATAAACTTTTGAATATTCTCATTTTGACCTTCTGGAGGCTTACAAGCCTGCTTCAAAACCTCTTGTAACCAATTGTAATCAACTCTAAAATGAATTTCTCTTTTGTGATACTACTTCTGCAATATGACATTCTTGCAAAAGAAGTATAATGGTTTAGATGCACTCTATATTGAGACAGGCTGTGTTTCATTATGATAGTGGTGTTTTTTACCTCAGCATCTAATTTCAGTTGAACTTGATTCTTTCAGCCATTTAAAAATTGTATGATAATGGCTTCCTTTTTTTTTTTTTTTTGTTTTGTTTTCCCCCCGCATAGGGAGAGAAGGCTACTTTCCATCATGAAGGTTTCTTCTGGAGGTGCTGGTTTAGTGGAAATGTAGGAGAGAATAATGCCAGCATGTGGAATTTCTGGTACAGTAAGTAACTTTTTCCAATTACATTCTCTACAGGAGTTTGTTCTCAAAATGGTTGTGGGTTTTGTTTTTTTTTCCTTCTTATGAATCACCAGATTTTATATGACTTCTTTGGTGATCAGGTTCTTCAGCTACCCTAAAATGAATTCTCAACAAACATTTTTGTAATCGGTACTAAAGGAAACCCTGGGACAAAGTCATACATATTTAACTATCAACTTATGCTATGAGTGTTATGGCTCTCCTGTTAATCTTTGTTAACCATTCTTATCAGAACAGTTTCTTGCAATTTATTGTTAAACAGACTGTTTATTTCTGTAACATAGGGAAAAAGAATTTAGTGATTAGGATGGTCCATGAAGTTTTGCTTGAAGAGTCTCCAACTAGTTCTGCCAATGGGTTAAGGAAGGCATAGGCAATTCTGCTATGAAAATCATGTAGGACACATCATCTTCAGATGATCCTTTGCTTTCTTTCACTACATGCCAGCATTCTGGAAGATCAGGTAGTATTTGCAGCCAAAATTGCTCATGAAGAAGAGGTCAAGGGAAACTCCTTTTCCTGTCTTTGACCATACTTCTGAGGTACAAAGCTCCCTCTCCTTATTGCAAGATTTCCACAATCTTTGTGAGAAGCAGGTGCCATCATACAAATTTGACTTCAATAACCCATATTTTGCTAAATATATTGCTTGGTCTTAGATCACAAATGTAATATTCACTGTAGTTAATTTCCCCTTGTTATTTATCTGGGGAATTTTGTGGTCAGGAATCTGAAATGTAAATGTGGTTTAAGCTATAGTCAGCCTTTATCTTTCACAAGGAAGAAGGTGATGTTTTTATAAGCATTTAATATAAGAGTGAAATAACCCTTCTCTAGAGATATTGATTCCATAGATTAAACTCATATTTGTTGAGACTGTAAACTTTCTGAAGATGCTTGTTACTTTTCATTGCTCTTTAACACAAGAAAAGTAATTTCCTGGTTTTTTTTTTGTTTTTTTTTTTGTTTTTTTTGTTTTTTTGTTGGACATGCAATAACAAGACAGACATAATTAACCCTCACAAGAGAAAGGTACAAATGCATATAAAAGCATATGAATGCATTGCATGCAAATTGCAGTGTGCCAGATCCTTGCCTTCAGCAAGGCTGCTTTACTGTTCCCATAGTACAAATCTGTGTTGCCCTTTAAGGAGTTTCCTTGGCTGGATAACAAGGCTGGTATCTTTTACGAAACCAAATCAACTGTAAGCTATTGCCTGGGATAGAACCTGGAATCTTGATCTATGAAACTCAATTTGCCTATTTGAAGAACAGAACAGGCTTAAAATATTTTATTGTTAAGTAAGTAAAATTAATCTTTAGTTTTCTTTCACTTTTAGCTAACCAGTCACCTTCTAAGAATTGTACACATGCTTACCTGTCACCATTTCCTCTTATCCGAGATGAACACAATTCAACCTCCTATGACTCTGCAATCAGTAAGTATTTTTTTTTTTTGCTGCAAATGGATACAATACCTATAGTTTAAAGAACACAATTTGGACACTTCAATATAAACAGCCTTATCGCTCCACACAGTTTAATTAATAGAGTTTTGGTGTTTCATACTTCTCATAATTTTACAACATGCATATGTAAGCCACTGTTTAGCAAAGCACTGAAATTAATGCTTAGCTTTAAGTATGATGGCAGTATGGAAGTAATTTCTAAAAAAAGAAACATTTCCCTTTTTAGTGCTTTTTTATCCAGCATAAAAAGTATCTTTCTTGGGCTGAATGCATTCCACAAGTACTTCTCATGTATTCCAATAAAACTCTTTTTTTTGTTAAATAAATAATCACATGTGGAAATATATTGCATTTTAACTTTATGAGGAAGGAGGAGAGGGGCCTAGTTACTGTCCAGGTTTATTCAGCTAGCTCAGATATATTGCACTGACCATTGGATGTGCCATTTTTTCTCCATTGGTACTATAGAAGGCTGAGGCACTGAAATGACTCTGAAAAATGTGTGACATACATGATAATGTAGCCTAAGATTGTAGCAATGGGCATTTTTGTTTTGTGAACTAAGCTCTTTTTAAATACATGTATGTATTCTTAATAATAGTTCAAAATACTCACTATGCTAAACTGAGATATTAACATGAAGAGATTAGTGCAGTAAGAAAGATACACGTGTATATATGTGGAAGATGTACAGTAATTGAAAACCTTATGTTTGAATAATGGCTGTAAAGCTGTTTTTACAACTCCACTTAAAAATATTGGTGACATTTCATCAGACCAAGGGCTTTATGGAAATGTATTTGAAGTAAGTAACTTCTGATACTTATTTCATATGACTTTTTAAATAACCTGTTATGTGTGGATGCTGCATGTCTCTGAACCCACTGACTCAGTGACTTAAGTGATCCCTTCCTGTCCTCAAGCTGTAATTATGCCTTTGCTAAATTTGATGTTTCTTCAGAATCCAATTTTTATGCTGCATACATGAAGAAAAAATAAGTTGGACTGCTAATGGTTCTGTTAATCTTTAGAAATTACGAAACAAGCAGAATTGTCCAAGCAGAATTCAGACATCACCATTCAGAGATCTAATCTGTAACTTTACAGCACATCTAGAACAGTTCATCTTTCCATTTGAAAGTGACAGTGTCATCAGCTCCAGACAGAATTTGTATTACACCATTCACTCATACATTCACAAAGTATCCTCAGATTATATTGCATGATTACACAGAAGTGGACAAACAATGGATAAGGAAAGGAGAAGAAATATCATCAAAAGTTTAATTGATTTTAGTTAATGTTTGCCAAAAGAACCACTGCTCAAATATAATTTTCCTATCTATATTTCCTACTAGGAGATTAAAAATAGACAGAACTGTACTATACATGCTGGCCCAGGTAGAGTATATTCAGAGCCATTCCTACTATATAAATAGATACAGTTGGATTGCTTTTGAGCTAATTAAAACTGAAGAGGGTTTTTTAATGCCTCCAGTTCAATTTTAGCATCCAAGCTGAGTTATTTACTTGCTTGCTCGAGAATCTTTCACAACTTTTTATGAATAAGGTTATGTTATCATCTCTTCTGTAGTTCAAAACTTGTTTCTCCTTCAGTCTAGTTTGGCAGTCCTGCCCATGATATTTGCAAACAAGTTTTTAAAATCTTGCTGCAACTGCAGTTGCTAAATTAAGAAATACTAGAAGGTTATAATCTTCTTGATTCACAGTGGAGGAAATGCTTCTCTGTAAAAACCAGTGGCGAATGCCCTTGGTTTGATTTTATGAAGAACAAGATTTCATCAACTATTTGTACATCCAGTTGGATGCATCTAATACCTTATATTAACTAAACATAGAACAAAAGGGCCCTACCAAAAGATTGAGGTTTTTGTCCCTATTTTTGGTTCTGCTACTGTTTCTTGATACAATATTACTATTTTCATTGCTCATAGCTTTCTGAATATATTCTCCCACACAAGTTTATTACTGTCTTTTTAGTGAGTCCCTCAAGTCCTATTTTAATTAGGAGTGGATAACAAGAAATGTGCTGTCATCTGAAAAATACTTAGTTTGCTCTTTCATAGAAAAATAAACAGCTGAATAAAAAGCTTTAAAACTTCATTAGAAAAAATGAATATGTATGTACAACACATTTTTCTAAAAATCTCTACCTTTCTGTTAACAGAACTGTTAGTTTCTGAGTAAGCAAAGGCATGCGACTTCTTTTACAGACTCTTTGTCTTAAGAGACTTTGAGACCTTAGAAGAGGAATTTGGATTTAACTGCAGCTTCTAATGGAAACACAAGTGTGGTTTGTTGGTGGAGTACCATGTCACCATCCAGTTAGAAGGGCTCGGGCAAAGATAAGTTTCCTGAGGAACATAAAATCTCTGATGATTTTTGAGTTGCAGTGATGACCAAGTTCTCTGTTGTCATAACTCTTTTGGCTTTAGTATCAGTAGGAATTTGGCTCAGAAGTTTTCTGGGCCAGGATTCAAAAGAGGCTTAAACTATCCTCTCTTAGATTATTTACATCTTTTTGTGTGTTGGTTTTATGGTGTTTGTGTGATAGTTCCTAAAAGACTCAAACACTGAAGACCCTAAAGTTAAGTATTTTAGTACACTTTACAAAGCTTTAGACCAAAGGTTTGGTTCATCCTGCTGTGCAAACCTAGACTATGAGCTCCTGGTGTCAAGAATTATAGCCTTAGATGGAAATGTAAAAACAGAAGAACCTACAGTGATGGTTATATTGGGGACCTGAATGCATGTTTTAATGTCTTAAGTTTCTTTTCATCATTGCTGCCAGATGGATGATCAACTTCAAAGGGTTAGATAGCACTGCTGTGAAATTGCATCTTTCTGTGTCTTTTAATTGCAGATATAATGGTTGTGTTCATTCACTGGTTTTGTTAAATATCTTTGGAGAGTGGGGAGGACTTCACCTACCTGCAGTGTAAGGTGTGGTCCCCAGCTGTGCTAATCGTTGTTTATGGTTAATGCGCTTAAATAAATTTGCAGGCCATGTCATTTATCTTAACCTGAAATAGGCACCTAAATGAACTCAGGGAAGGCCTGACTCTGGTGACTTTCTGTGATGGCACAGTGGTTTATAGTGACAGCTATTATAGCATGCAGCTATTAAGTAGACTTAGACAGCACCTCATTGTGTTGCCAGCACATTAATGTATATGATGATTCACAAACATATGTGCAACAAACTACAAGCTAAGAATAAAAAAACTGAATTAATGTGTACAATAATAGTGCCAGAGTAGTGACCTCTGCATTCTAAAATAAACATACATTTGTATAATCATAATCAGATTGGTTATCCCATCAAGCTATTTTGAAAACATAACAGTATAGTACTTAACTAATAATCCATTGCTAGCTAGATTAACGCATGGTATCATGTCATTAGATTACTTAACACTTAAATTCACGGACTATCACACTTATATAAAACTCCCTTTTTACTACGGAACAATACTAGGCCTGTTTTTGAAAACTGTATGAAGTCCTTACTCATACAAGTAGTCCCACTGGCTACACTGAAGTTATTGCTAAGAAAAATAAGTGCAAGATCTAGCACTTAGTAAAATCATTAATTTTATTTTTTAGGGGCTTATTCAAAATTTCTTTGGAAATAAACAATAGTTCCTTAACTGTTGTAAATTGCCCCAGCACCTTCTGAAGCTAAACTGGAAGCCCTTTAATGGGGCTGCACTGACACATTAGTTTAATAATGTAATTTGTAGCTGCTAGTACTTCTCCTGACCATAGTATCTTATTTTGTCCAGCACTGGGCACATTGCCAGCTTTTGAAGTAGTGCCTAATATAATGTAGAATACAGAATGTTTATAGGACTGAGGCAAAATTCTCACCTCTAAAATGGTGTGATCAAATTTATTGGCAGGTTTGTTACTGAGTTGAAATTAACCTAACGTAATTGAGAAAATATCAGGAATGAAATCTGAAAGTAAAATTTGTACAGTGAAATGTTAGCAGTAGCCTATTTCTAGAGCAAAAAAAGTGCTGTTATGTAATACAGTCACATAATTGCCCATAAGATATTGTAATACAGTACATTTACTAAAGGAACTCCCCAGCCACCAAGCAGTGATAAAGCAAGAAGTGTTTAAAAAAGCAATGGATTCATACTGTGGATATTGTATTTGTTTTACTGTTAAGGTTATTAAAAAAACCCCATTATTACTACTAGGGGATAGTAAAGAGTACTGAGTGAAACTGAGAAAAGTTTTGCAAGGTTTATCTTGTTGCCAGGTGTGTCTCTTGTGCTGCTGCTGAGATGTGTGATCTCATTTACAACTGTTTATCTGCAGAGAAGCTACTCCTGATAGTATCAGGCAGTTCAGGCACTTTGCCTTTCATTGTATTTTATATTGTGGGTGGCATTTTGATACCTCTCGTCAAAAGCATTTTTGATATCTCTTACAATAAATAGAGAGGTAAAAAAGACATATTTCAAAATGCAATCCCCAGTCAAATCACAGGAAAGGTTCACTTTAGGATGTGAGCTTGTGTGTGAAAATTCAAGGCAACTTTTCTAACTCATTTTGCCTATCCTTAGTAATGCTTATGCAGCATTGTACTCACATATGCTTCAAAAGATTTTTCAGGTTTGTAGTGCTTAATAATTCATGTTCAATATTGAATTCCATATTAAGTGGCTGGGGTTTTTTGGGTGGGGTTTTTTTGGTTTTTTTTTTGATAGGCCATAGAAAATGTATGGGCTGGTGGCTGAGATTTTAACACACTTGAAGTCAGTAAGGACAATAAAATATGTGGTATGATTTCATGAGGTTGGTGTTAATGTCTCCTGTTGTAGATTGGTGTTGCATTCTGTCATTACCTAACCTGTTCCTGAATAACCCATTATGGAGCTTCTGAGGTGTGCACAGATACTACACAAGTGTGCATTGCAGGTGACACAGCTGTGTAACTTCATCAAATATATTATTGCTTCGCTTTCATATCATGCACCAATAACATCTTAAAATACAAATCTGTGACTTCAGTTTATAATCAATACTGGGACATGCTATACTAGAAAAGGGAGCTTTTGATAATTTTTAGACATTTCTCCAAAATTCAGTCCCTTGCTCAAAACCAGATACTTCTGGTTTTCAAATTATGCAGGAGTCTCCAGAGGAATCTACATTAGGATCTTTAGCGAGAAAAGCAAGTAGCAACGGAAAATTACAGGTCAGGTAATTTTGGAGGGATATACTGCAGCTATAACGTTCTCGTAGTGTAGCCTGAACGGTGCAGAGCTCAAAGACAAGCATACTGTGTGTACTCCTTTTTCCTCTAAGTACTATTTTATTTTTAGGCCTGCCTGTCACTGTGAAGGCAAATGTACCCAATGGAGGGGCAGCTTACCAAGACAAGTTACAGAACCTTCTGCCTTCTGTTTAGCACTCTTGCAACACAGAGCAATGGTATCTGACACTGCAGATAGGTTTACCTTGGACTCTGCAGTAGTGCTTGTACTTTATTTTTTCCTCTAGGAAATACTTGGAATAACACAGGTACTTGAGATAGCTAACTCAAATATATCTGTGAAGTACCTTGAGGCAAGGGTACTCCTTATCATCTGAACCAGAACACCTTGGATGGGTACACTGAACCACTATTTCTTGAAACTGGCTGCTTGGATCACAGTGTGATCCCTTTTCATGTGATTTAAAGAAGCATAGTGCAAATCAGCATCTTTTGGTTTTTATCTCTTGTGGTTCGCATCAGTCTCAGAGCAGCAAAGTCTTTGACTTGAAGAGTAAGTTCATTCTTAGGTGGTTTTAATTTCAGCTAGCTCTTTTGTGTTCCTCTATAGATGCCAGCTAAGCTAAATGACAGCAGTAGGGCTGCATTGTAATTTTGAATGATTAGCCCTGCAGGAACTGATCTTGCTGAGAAGATGGGAAATATGATCTGAGCAAAAATGGTCTGAGTATGAAATAAGTTAAGCCTTGTTTGTAGAAAATTGGTTGCTTTTGAACTCCCTAAGTAAAGAAAAAGTCTAAATGCTCTTAGGATGTTTCCTCAGACCTGTACCAGAAATGACCCTAATGACTTACTGCCCTGCAGATTAGAGAGAATAGTCTTTTACTTGAAAAGTCACTGATTTGGGAACATTGCAGACTTTTTACCTGTCAACTCTACTCTATTTTTGAACTGATGTTTAATGATGGAGTTAGCTGGCTAAACAAGTATTAGAATCATCAGAATGTATCCACGATTCTCTAGAGTAAATAATTATTTCTAGAGAAATAGAATGGAAGCTTATTTCAGGTGATAGCTAGGTCGAATTAGTATTTCACATATAATACATAAAATAGTTATGCTGTGGGAGCAGAGAAACAGCTTTTCTTTTGTCTAGCTACAGAGAAGTTTAAGCAAATTTTCATCAGTTACATTTGTACTCCTTTTGTGTTCAGTTTCCAGGAATATTTTAACAAATCAAGCTTTTATGGTAAAATTGCACTAAAAGCAGACTCAAAGCTTCCTGTATGAAGAGCAGATGATGAAACTGTATAATAATACTGTAATGCTGGAGAAGCTTGTATTCTCATCCATTCAGAAAATAGAAACACTGCTGTGTGACTTAGGTGACTGACCATAATGATGTCAAAGAAAGCTTTTTCAAGGTCCATTTTGGCCAGTGAGTCCTATTATGTAGCATGACTTTGAAGTACCTTGGGCCATTCATGTAAAAGAGTTGGGTGGTTATAGACTGATTTAGCAGTATTAGGTTTTAAATGAGAAAGTAATGTCCCATGGACTTGGGGACTGTGATGAAGCTTAGCAAATTAGCCCCATGAGTAAAATAATATGAAATTGCTTCAGAGACCCAAGACTGAAGGACTCATGAGATTTACCTTTCTAGGTCTCCATTCACTGTCCATTTGCATTAAGTGGATAATTTAACTACGTGTTTAACTTTAAACAGGTGCCTAAATCCTAAAAGAGGTAGAGTACTTAAAGCAGAACACACACTTAACTGCTTTGCTGAGCCACAGCTTTATTTTTTGCCTACTATTTCCATATTTTTTTCTTTCTGTGGAAGGAAGACTTGTATTGGCTATGAACCAAAACACAGGTTTAACCCTTCTGCCAGCTACTTTCAGACACATTCATCCTTCCTATGCCCAAATCTGCTGATCAGTGTGGTGGAAAATTATGTCTCTGAATCTTTGCCTGGATTAAAAAAGATGTCATTTAAAAAGTGTGGCTAATGTGATGTGGTGAACGTGACCTAGCTAATACAGCTACAAGGCTGATATAAGCAAGATGATGTATACTTTCACATGAGTTAAGCTGGTCAAGTTGAAAACTGTAGATTTTTGGAACTTGTTAGTAGGAAGCACAAGCTGATAATATCTAGCGCACCTTCAGATTTCAGATGAGAGCAAACCTGAATTATTCCAGAATAGCTGGCTCTAACAAGCTGTATGAATTTGAAACTTTCAGGATAAGAACCAGTATAATAGTTGCCTAGTTGTGTTTTGCCATAACAGTAAGTAGGTGCTGTCAAATGATAAGTGGCAGTTTCTTTTGTGACTCACTTTTCCTGACTTGCCAGCTGGCTTATATGCTTTCCCTCAGTTGGGTGGAAATGTTTTTCACTGACTGAATTGTCAGTGCTTCCAAGATTTTCAGAGCTGATGATGGAGATCTTTGCAACTCATAATTTTACTAATGGGTTGTGTTAATGTACCGATTTTTAAATTCATGGGAGAAATTTATGTCACTCTTGTAGCATTTGTAAAATGATGACTTTGTTAAATGGATGTGCAATTAACCAGCTAAAAAATAATTGTTAGAAAGAATCTTTTGGCCACAGTATGTCACAAAACTCTCAGCTCATTTATCACCAGCTGCATCCATTAATTCAGCACTGCTTGGCACTGTCTAACAGAGGCCTCTGAAACATCACATTTTAAACTTATAAAATACAAAGAGCTTTAGAGCAGGAATAGGATGGTTTAAAATACTTAACAGTTTTTCAGAAACCTGATTTACTTTTTTTTTTTTTTTTTTTTAGTTTCTCCTCTATCCTCTATCCTGCTTTAAATTTCATTCTATTAAATACGACTATATGTAAGGAGAATTGTCCAGTGTAAATTGTAGAGCACTTACATTTACAGATTGCTATTGGTGATATTGTCTGAACACTAAGAATGTCAAGATGTTACAGCTCTCTGCTTCTCCCAGACAATTTTGGTAGAACAGTTGTATCCTGCCAGCCCAATCACTTATCCCAAAGAGTAATTGCTACAGCTTTGGTGTCCCATTTTGCAAAGAGCATAAATTTTCTATCATCTTGCAAGTCAGTGCTAAATATTAAGCAGACAGATTTCATTCATGGTAACTTATAACCTGTTTTCCATGATCATCAGATAAGGACTGGCATTCAAACCTAAATCCACATGATATAGAACATGTATGCACAATAGAATGAGTGTTTCATTTGTTAATAAGGAAAGTGAAAAGAGGGAATGAAAAATCTTTGTTAGCCAAATATGTTAATTGTTTAAGTTCTAAAAAGTGTTGTATTCTTTTTTCCTTTTTCCCTTTCTCCAGTTTATCGAGGTTTCTGGACAGTTCTTATGCTCCTGGGAGTGCTCACTATTGTGATGGCTAGTTTCTTCATCATCTGTGCAGCTCCTTTTGCCAGCCACATTCTGTACAAAGCAGGAGGAGGCTTTTACATCATTGCTGGTGGGTATACTACTTGCTCAACCAATTAAAGAATAGAAAGGATGAGGTATTTCTCCCATTTTCTGTGACCAAAAATTATATTAATCATAGTTAAAATAAAGAAAAAGCATATGCTTCTATCCTTTGGCTTGTGGAGTGCCTGCCTTGGAGACAATTCTTTCCACAGTGATTTAGTCATGAAGCTATTCTAAAAGCTGCTTTTGAATTTGGATTAAAAAAAGTCAAGGATGAATCATGGGATTTCAGTCGACTTTTTTAGCAGGTAAAAGAATGCATATTTAGGGATGCTGCCTTATAGGATTCTCAAGGACTTTAGCTAAGGAGAGGGGTTTTTTTATCAGTGACACAAAAGGTGATTACAGTAGGCTCTAAAGAAGTTGGAAGACAAGAGCACATTCACATGACCAGTATAGGAGAAATATTTTGGATGTGATCGATGTGCACAAAATAGTTGTCACATATGATTAACTGGGAGCTCTAAACCTCTGTGAATGGAAGATAACAAATAACTGAATTCCCTCCTTCCTCCTAACCCAAAGGTACTATGGAGGATGCACCCTCCCAGGATTCAGCTTATATGGGCAGCTGTTCTGGTAACCTTGAAAAGTCTGGGAAGATGTCACATTGGTGTGTAAGATAGAGTTGTGTAGGATGTAAGTGATAGTATGTGCTCAATCAGTGTTCTCCTTTGTATAAAGCCTGGTGAGAGGCAGTCCTGTGAAAGCAGTATTGTGTTATAGGGCAGGGTCACTCATGTCAGGACCAAAAGGCCTGGGCTCTTTTTCTGCTTCTGTTACTGACCTGCTGACCTTGCTCACCCACTTCACCTTGCAGCTCTTTGTACGCAGCTAGTGATTATTATTCCCTTTTAAAGGACCCTGAGTGAAGTATTTTATAATATTTTTGCTGAAAAAACTCCTGCATACTTGCATTTGATCCCTTGAGAATTAGTCCTCCATGCTTTTAAAAGACATACAAAAAATATTCATTGTCTGACAGAAATCCTAAGATATTTCAATGCTTTTTGTCACTAATTTGCAGGGTAAGAGCCCATGTGAGTCCTGCTCTTTTTCTGCATTTGTAAGCTGTAAAAAACCTCAGCTGTCACTAGAAAGTAGCAGAGGCTGTTGGAGAGGAAAAGGGTGCTTGAAAGACACTGGGAACCGATGGCAGAGGTGCAAAGCGATGTGTGTGTTCTCTACTCTGGGTCAATCCATCTGCCCTCTTATAGACAAGAGAAAGTTCAAATCCCAGGTCTGCACTAGTCTCCCTTGTCTTCCCTAGGAGGGCTGCAGGGGGCAACAACATTCATCTGCAGTCAAAACAGTCAGTACATAAGAATTTCCCCCAGCTGGGGATTTGTTTCATCCTGAAAGAGAGGCCTAATTGGATCAGATGAATGTGCTATGGAGGAACCCTACATATCTCTTTCCTTTACTAAGGGAATCTAGATAGGCTATTTTTTTAGGTGTGTGGTGTTAAGTGAGCTTTATTATCCCAATGTGTGACCTTGGGCCTGTCTCTTTGCCCCTCTCACCCTTTGTCCCTATAGAGCAGATGTTCTTCAAGGGAAATCCTGACTTTTTACTCTCTCTAGTATCTTTCAACTTCAGTGCTGTTCTCAGTCAGGGCTTCAGAGAAAAGCAGTATTATTTTTATTATTACCATTGTTGTTGTTGAAAAGCAAAGCTTTTTAGCAAAATCTTGCTATGATTTGCCAAAAGGAAGTGGTGGCAGCAGAGTGTAGGATCCTGGAGTCGTTCAGCTTGCACAAGACATTTTGGCTTGGGTAAGGAGACAAAGTTCCTGACCAACCTCTTCTGCATCTGCTCCCAGTCACACCAGTAGAGCAGGGCTGCTTGGGGAAGGTGCTAACTGTAAAAGTAATTATCCTGTCCAATACTTCAGATCACCCACAAAAACATAAAACCCCCTCCCCAACTTTGTTGCTCTCAGCTCTTCTCACAAGTCAGTATCCTCACAAAGCCAAGGTGTGGGTTTAATTTTATCATGAATTAAAATCATACTGGAGGGAGACACTATACACACATAAGAAGAGCCTGTAAATGCTTTGCATTGTCAGTAGTTAAAGCTATGTCCTGTGAGATGTCTTGGGCAGCAAGTAGGAGGGATTCTCAGACCCAAAGGTATGACAATATGAAATTGCTATCTGTTTCTATCCCAATAGAAATTCTTCACAATACTTAATATCTTAAATCTTGGATAACTTGAGGGCAGAGCAAGACGAGGGCAGAGCAAGACAAGGTAGAGTCTGATGCAGAAGAGGAGTAGTTTAGCCTGCCTGGTGTACTCTGTGGAGTTCACTGCTGCCCTGATCCCTTCCTCTATCCAACTTTTTCAGGACTAGAGAGCCTGTTCATCTACTACTTCCCAAAGGAAAACTGGGCATGAAAGGGGAGAGTGCATATTTGTCGCTCATACCAACATGTGATCAGGATGCAGTCAGGGTATACATCTATTTAAACACAGACCTAATGGGAAAATGGAAAGATGTAATGTGACTTAGATCATAGGTGAAGTTAGAGCTCTTTTAAGACAGAAACCAGCATACTGATTTTAAGAAAAAAAAAGGAATTATATGTATTGTTTGTAAAGGGCCTGTATGCTGTCTTACTGCAATGTTCAAGTAGCTGTTATACTGAGGAGAACAGTAGGCTTCTGAGAAAGAAGTTTGACACTGTGGTTGTTCTGTGGAAGTTTGGAAGAAGAAGGTAGGAATATCAGTCATTTTCCTACTCACATATATCTTTAAAGAAAAATGTTAGATGAAGCAATTTTAATACCTGTTATTGCACTGAAGTATCTATATCCTTTTGCAACCTTAACTGACAAATTACGTAGCAGATAAAAGCTCTGCCTAAACTGAAGAGAAATGAAGAGCTTGTAGAGCAGTCTGCTGTGCCATCTTAGGGTCCAGAAAGCAGCTTAAGAAATTATTGGGAATGAGATTCATGCCAACTATTTAGCCATCCAAAAGCTAAGTGTTTGGTATGAACCAGCTGCTTAAACTAGTGTCAATAGCAAGAAACACACTCTCAGACAATTTACCTTATCTGTGCTAAAGCAGATAGACTTGCCTTCTGGAGGGACCTATGTAAGAAGCCTAAACAGAGATCCTGAGTGACATAGAATAAATCTAGTTTGGAAACGACCTCCTGTGGCAATCAAATCTGACCTCCCTTTCAAAGCAGCGCTGGCTTCAAAGTTAGATCAGGCGGCTCAGAGCCTTATCCAGTCAAGTTTTAAAAATCTCCAATTGATATTCCACAGAGTATTTGGGCACTTGTCACAGTTTGACAAACTTCATTGTGAAATTGTTTGGGTTCTTTTAAAACTTACATCTACCTGAAATTTTCCTTACTGCAGTTTGTGACCACTGTATCTCATTCTTCCAGTGTGCACATCTCTGAAGAGTCTATCCCTGTCTTCTCTGTATTTTCATTTAGAAAGATGACGACTGTTTTCTCCTCCAGACTAAAACTCCCCAGCTCACTCAGCCTCTTCTTGCCCTCCATGTCCCTAACATCTTGATGGTCATAGCCTCAGTTTATTGGTATCTCTTTTTCACATTGGGCCTCAAACTGGGCACAGTATTCCAGATACGATGTCACAAATGTGAGTAAAGGGAAATAATAAACCTGCTGACTGTGTTCTTGCTGCTGCAGCTCTGCATGAGGTTAACTTTCTTTTCTGCCAGACCTACTTGAACTCTTGTACACTGAGAGAGACCATTCTTGTGCTTTAAGAAAATTGTCTGTGAAGAACAAACAGTTCTTCTGGGACCCTTTGAGGCATCATTTGTCCTTCAGGTCAGCCTTTGCCCTTCAAGGCAGCCTTCCTTGGGATCCTACCTACCAGTTCCCTGAACAGGCTGAAGTCTGTTCTCCTGAAGTTCTGGGTCTTTAATCTCCTACTCACCTTCCATATTCCTCCTAGGATACTAAACTTTGCCATTTCATTGTCATTATAACCACAACTAAAACCATCTCATATTCCTGACCAGTTTTTCCTTATTTATGAGTAGCAGGTCCAACAAAGCACTTCCAATAGTTGGTCTGTTCCACACCTGTTTAAAAAAATTATTCTTGATGCTCCCTCTGGGATTGCTTGCACACCACAGTTTTGCCCTTTTAGAACATATTGGGGTGGCTGAGTCCCTCATGAGAACCAGAAATCATAACTATTTTTCCAGTTCACTTTGTCTTCTTAATTGGGTAACCTGTGGCAGATGTCCACTGTGGTCACACCCTTGTTGTACACCTCATTGGTCTTAACCCATAAGCTCATTTTACTTAGAAGATTTCTGTCCATTCAAGATTTTTCTTTGTGTAGACTGCAGCCGTCCCACCCCATCTTAACTGCCTGTTCTTAGAGTCTGCATCCATCCAGCAAAGCACTCCAATCAAGCAAGCTGTCTCATCATGCCTAGAGCTGCAGTGGTGTCATCCATCATCCAGTGACTGCATGAACTCGAATTCCTCCTGTGTTATTCCAACACTGAGTTCATTTGTGCACAGGCATTTGAGATGGGCTTTCAGTTGTGCTGCTTTCTCAGTGGAAGTGTAGGAGTCTTCCTCATTGCTCTGTCCTGTGCATATGCTCTCCATTCCCTTCCCCCTGCTAATCTGGAGTCTTTGCTATCCATCTGCCAGTGGTCCTTGTTTGTATCTCTTCTCATAAGGCTCCTGAGCTTATTACT